GAATAAAAAAAAATTTTCTCCATTTAAGTTCCCAAGATCATGTTGTTGAATCAACTAATCATACATAATGAACATGAATATAAATATGGGCGAAAGATTACCTCTTGTAGTGCAAAAATAATTCAAGCAAAAAAGGAACCATCCAAGTGTCCCGCTCTATTGTATATCCATGGAGTACAAGCACCCATACAAGAAGTAATAGAAATCCTAGAGTGCTAGCTCTAATCCTTCGTGTAGTTTGTTTTTCTCTAAAAATCCTATAGGATAATTTGAGCTAACTTTTGGCTTTTTAGGAGAGAGATGCGATGACCTTTTCTTTTTAGAGAGAGAAACATCTTTTTCTCTATTTTTTTTCTTTATATCGTAATTTTTCTCTTGGTTGCTTTTTTTTCCCCACCTCTCGTCTCCTTTATTTATATAGGGGGCGATAACTTCTCGCTGTAGGTCAATGAGATATTGCTTATGTGAGCTTTGTCTATAAACTTTGAGCCTTATCCAATAATGCTTAAGTTTATCCTTCCACCAAAATATTTTATAGACTTTTAAATTAAGTCTATTGGCTCAAACTTTTTTGGTCCAATTAATTATCAATTAATTTGAACCATTCAAATAAATTGGGTTAGATATTTTTAGGAGGCCCATATTAGGAAATAATTTTCCAAATGAACCTTAAACTTAAATTAGGAAACTAATTTTCTTTTTAGGTACATGTCTTCCAAATTTGAAACTAACTTTCAAATTAGGAAACTAATTTCTAAAATAAAAAACTTTCCATTTTAGGAAACTTTTTTTTTTCAAAACAGAAACTTTTCATTTTTTAAAGCTTTTTTCAAAATAGGAAACTTTCAAAACAAGAAACCTTTTTCTAAATCTTTGCTTCTCTTTTATTATGTGAATATTTAAACTTATGCATATGACTCAATAGGCTCCTAAATATGCCGACAATGTATCAAGAATAAAAGATATATTTTTTTTATCTCTTGATATATAAATCAAGATAGACATCTAATAAGGTATCATGACTACCCAATTCTCTATTAATTAATCTATAATTACCTTTCACAAGCATGGTTACTATACAATTTAGTCATCATGTCAATTTATGAAAGTGTGATCTTGAACTTGGTTTATAGTTTGTTTAATTATGATCACACAAGTTTTCTTCGATCTCTACATGTCTTGCTCTAAAGTAAACCTATACTTCCATTATGGCCATAGATTCCTTGAGCGAGAAATGAATCGAAGTGCAATGTGATAACTCCTTTAGCGTACAAGAAATGACATATTCTATCTTAGTCATCTACTTATCTCAATTGGATTTCTAGTGTACCCAATGAATTATCCATATATAGCTATTGATCGAGCTCATCAAAATGAGTGTCAAAGTACATAAATCCTGTAATGAGATAATCGTGATGACTTTAAGTCAAAAGATCAGTTGTACTCATCTCGTATGAGATTCCTATAGGCTAAACCAAATGGGTTCGCATGGCGAGTCACGTCTAGTAATATGTTCTCTAACATTAATCACCTAAGTGCTTGCTTTGGTATCACCATGCTAGTAGGTATAAAATCTCTTACCGCTAACTTATAGTATGAGCATAACATTCACAAGTCTTACTCGTATATATAGATAATATCCATTTTTGACAATGCTACAACTTGTGATATTTAATGATATCATGTAAGTGTATTAATATTTATCTCACATCTTTTGATCAATCATTAATGCAATGCATATCATATGTACTTCTATCTAATTCTATTAAATTATAAATAATAAGAATTAATAGAAAGAATTTTTTTATTTATATTAAAATGCAATGTTACAATATATCAAATTTAAGCACCTATACTAACATAGAGAAGGAAGATCTCGAGGATGATCTGAATAATGAAGACATAGTGAGTTTTCAAGGATTACTATCAATGATTTATAGCCTAAATATATCTCTCTTCGATTCAACTATGACTTACCACGCGACTATGGTTTTACTCGTTTCACCTTTCAACTCTCCTATACTCAATCGTGTAAACAATATATATATATATATATATATATATATACACCAACATGGCTAGCTACAGTTCCCACCTTTTCTTCTGATTGGATTGTAGTTTGAGAATTAAGATGGTAATTAAGTGGATTTTCAGAACTTAATTTCTTTCAAATAACTACTAAAATTGAGGGGAATTTTTCTTTTTTTTTTTCCATTTGAAGAACCCACGTACGGTCCCCGTATGTATCCTAGATTTGCCCATGTTGTCGAGAAATTTAATTTTGATGTACAAAAAATTAATCTAAGAATAATCTAACTAACTGTTAAAACAAAAACTTATTCTACAAATTTAATATCATATTTAACGTGTTTCCTATAAACATGCACTCTGCAAATTTTATAAACCCATAAATTCTCCTCCTCCTCCTCCTCCTCCTTCTTCTTTTTATAACAATAGGATAAAAAGAGATGAAGAGAAAAAAAAAAAGATTTATGTTTTCATCATAAGCAAACCATGGTTTTCGATGGATTACTTATTTTGTTATTTGTTAATTTTATTGGTTTTATTCGGCGGCTAATTTTGGATGTTTAATTGCATCAATATTGTTGAAATTTACTGGTTAATTAGGAAAACAAATTATCATCATCATTAATAATAATAATAATAATAAGTGAGAATGGAAAACGTAAATTTCTTAAAAAAGAAAACCTAATCCTACCTCATACTAATTTAGCAGTTAATTGGTCTTCTAAACTTTACAAAGAATTTTTCTAAAACCTAACAAAATCATATATAAATAGAGTAGAACACAAAGGTTTGCAACAACAGGTTAGGAAAACTTCCCATATTAATTAATGTAGCAAAGGAAAAAAAAAAAAGTCATATAAAAACCTTCTCTATTAAGATTTTCTATGTATAGTAATCCCATTATTATTCATTGGCAATTATTGCTTCAAATTTGGCAATGCCACGTTTGGAATCCCATTTTTCTTGTCTTTTATCTTCTTAAAAAAAAAAAATCTGTTCCACTTTATTACAGTACAACATTGATTACATTGGTCCACTGATTTTCGTTTTTTAGGGTTTCCATGTTGGCATCAACCACTCCTTTAGTAAAATTCTAAAAGAGGTAAATAACCACCTCAGAAGTAATTAAAATTAACCAAAATTGGATAATGGCTACAAATAGCATCCTATCTGTCACCTTTTCAACAAGTATCCTAATTGTGGTCACACTTTCCTTCTTTAGTCCTGCAGAATCCTTGTCAATTCAAGTAACAAAGTTATTATAAATTAAGATTTGGTTTCTTCTTCTCTCTTTATATATATATTCAAACACATCTCTTGCAGTTTCATATATATTTTTGTTGGTTACAGAGTGTGTGTGTTTGGGTTAGAGAGGAGAATAGGAGAGACCATTAGCTAGATTATTATAATAACATATTAACCAGATAGAGGTTATACATACACACATGACTGAAGAGAGGAAAAAAATGGGGAGAGGAAAAATTGAGATAAAGAGGATAGAAAACGTGAATAGCAGGCAAGTTACCTTCTCCAAACGCAGAAATGGGTTGCTGAAAAAAGCTAGAGAATTATCAGTTTTGTGTGATGCTGAGGTTGCTGTGATAGTCTTCTCTAGCACAGGAAAGCTTTATGAATTTTCAAGCACAAGGTGTGTTATGTTTTCTTTTCCTTCTTTTTACCCTTTTCATAGAATTAGCATCTATCTGATTTGAATCTAAAATCGCTTTAGTTGTTTTAAGAGAAACAAGATTAATTTGATATCATATAAAGGGTGGGGGTCTTTCTTTTTCTTTCCTTTTTTTTCCTTTTTTATCTCTTGTGCATCTATGGCAGCTTTTTTTTTTTTTTTTTGATGATTAGGTCTTGGTCAAACTCGTCCAATTGACTTGTGACTTAAAAGGTAGAACAAGTCAATGAGCTGCCACTGAAAACAAAATTAAATTCCAGTAAAACACTAACTCAGAAGTGACGGGACCATCAAGAGATGAAGGGGATAGTTTCTACGATATAAATAAATTGAGGTTGTTCAAACAGCACAAACCCTAGATAATTAACCATTTGAAATTACTTTAGGAATTTTTTTCCTCCCTCTCTCTTCTTTTGGATAGAAAGTTGTTTGGAAAGGTGGTAAAGAATAGTGCTCGTTGTGGTAAAAATAGAAGTTCATAAGAAAATTTTGAGGTATTCCTATTTTGGTAGCTAGGTTACAAAGAAAATCTCAAGTTATTCAATGTACTGTTGGTTTTGGGCTAGATTTGGATAGATGGTTGGTAGTTTTGGGCCTTAATCAGAAGCCTGGAACTGGTTCAAGAGAGAAGTAAATGATTGATTAAGCCTTGCGTAATTTCCTATAGAGCATAGATTTTAAGGTCGCCATGCCAGTCATAGTGTAATTAGCATATTTCACATTTACCAATAGAACTTTTTTTTTTTCAGTAATGCATGTCTTGAATTATAAGAAAGACTTTAGATGTTGTTTGGTAATACAAAATTAGAATGGTAGGAATAAATATAAAAGTTTTATTTTATTTTGTAAGTTTTTAATTGAAAAAAATAAATTTTGAATGAGAATAAAAAGTAGAAATAAAAATAAAAATTAAATATAATTTTATTTTTACGAGAAAGTTGAGAATAAAAATAAAAATAAGTATTGAAAATGATATATATATATATAATTTTCATTACCACCATAGCTACTCTATAATTACTTTTATCATTTTTACTATTATCACATTTGATGAAGCTATTTTTTTAATTATTATTATTATTTTTCTTAAACAATTAGATATTAAAATTTTTAATTTCATTTCGATTTTTTATTATTATTCCATACATAATATTGAAATGAAAATGTCAATCAGATTATCTAATTTAATTCTAATTCATGTATTTTCATTTTGAATTTTTCATTTCTTATAAGTAAATGATACCTTAATTCTTGTCACAATCTATTCCAATTCCTGAATTGCAGCATGGAACACACACTTTCAAGATATGGCAGCGGCCTTGAATTGGATATTTATAATGATCATCCTTCTGACGACCATGGGGCGGAGGTATGCTACAGTAAAAAAAAGCTCTTATTGTCAGTTTATCTCCAAATCATGTTAGATTAGTGCTTATGAATCTTTGTTAAAACAGCATGCAAAAGGTGCAGAGGTGAATGCACTGAAAGATGAAGTCTCAAAGCTACGGTTAACATGCTTGTAAGTCATCGTGAATTGATGAACTCATTCTAGGCTATTTTTTTTTCAGAATTCTATTTTAAAGTTGCCCTTGTGATTTTTGCAGGCAGATGATGGGTCAACAACTTGATGGCTTGAGTTTCAAGGATCTGCAACACCTAGAGCATCAATTAAACGAAGGCATTTTGTCTGTTAAGGACAAGAAGGTAAACAAATTCTAAAATGAGCTACTTCTCTTTTCGTTTGATCTTACCCTGCTGATACTGTGCCGAATCTTTGCTTTCGCATGCCTTGTAACTCATATTGTTAATTGTTGCAGGACCAAATTCTAATGGACCAGCTTAAGAAATCCAGAATGCTGGTAAACAATGCATTTCACTATATAACTTGAAAGACCACACCCTTGTCAATGTACCTTTTCCTTTCCAATTTGATACAATTTTGTTTGCTGCTTTTATTTTCAGGAGCAAAAGGCCACTCTAGAGAATGAATCTCTGCGTAAGCAGGTTAGCTGGCTTTAGACTCAATCACGTACAGTTTCGATAAACTTTTTTAAGTGTCAAACTTCATGATTGATTAATTGTTTATTTTGTCTCCAAATGTACATAGATTGAGGAACTCAGACGAGGATCCCGGCAAAAATCTGCTTTCCTGGAATTTAGTCCTTTGGACAGGAGACTTTCTGTAGCAATTTCTAAACCTGATAGTCATCAAAAACCACAGGAAGAAGATGGTCTTTCAGACACTTCATTGCACTTGGGGTATGTAACATATTTCCACACTCTTGGATTTACTTTCCTGTAATCCATGCCTAAAGAAACATCCTAGTTTTCTATCATCCTATTACTGTTTAGTTGCAAAAAAAAAAAAAAAAGAAACTTGGCTATTTTGAGATTTAGCTAAATGTAAAATGTTGCTGGACATGCTAAAGATTCTAGGTTTAAGCGGCAATTAACAAACTGCAAGTTTCACATATATAATTCATTTCATCCTTGCCCGGACCATTCTACTATCTAGAATTGAGTAAATTATTAATTAGTCCCTTTAGTTTCAAGAAATGAATTAATAAATCTTTTTGTTTTAAAAAAATATTATTTAATTTGTTGATAGTATTGATTATGTTTAATTTAATATTATTTTTATTTTACAAAATGTCTTCTTTTCTCATTATTTTTTTCATATATTTTTTTTATTTCTTAAAAAATCAAAATAAATCGAAAATAATTAAAAATAATTAAGTTACAAGTAGATTTAAAAGCATGAGGATTAAATGATATTAGTTTTTGAAACAAAAGAAATTAATTAATTCATTTTCAAAATGAGAGGGACTAATTTATAATTTACTCCCTAAGAATGCAAATGATTTTTTTTTTCTTTTTCCAATATTTGTCGAGCCTCGTACTTTTCTCTCTTTTCTCAGATTGTCATCGGATGTTTGTCTCCAGAGGAAAGCTGCTAAGATTGAATATGTTTCCAATGATTCAGGGAGTCAAGTAGCCTCAGGGTGATGAAGCAGAACATAGATCCTCGTATAATGGGAAGGCTATTGCTAGTTTAGTTTATGAAAATTTTAGAGAGAAAATTTTCTTCATTTTCGTCTACATATAGATGTTTTTGGTATGTCAGTGTTAACTAGATTTTCAAACATATCATCCAATGTGTTGGGCACAATTTATAGATCGCTATATGAATGATGCTAATCTTTTTTCTGAATACCTTCATGAATTTTCAACAATTGGGGATTTGTTAGATCAACAAGTGAAATCCACCTATTTAACAGACGAGATTTCTTATAAAGTAATTTTCGAAAACAATTGGATAAGATTAGCAATGTGTTTATTATATTCATGGATACATTGGAGGGATATAAAGGATATATTCTTAAAAAAAATTAAAAAACAGAGACTTGGTTTCCTTTAATATGCAATGTAGTTAAAAAAAATTTAATTAGTTATGTCTCTTATTGGATTAAATTATCAATTGTCTCCCGAGTTTTGATAAACCAATTAATTAATCGGTTTGTTTTAAAAACTAATTATTTAGTTTTTATATTTTTAAATTTTCTTGTAATTTAAGTGTTTTATTCTTTTTTAATTTATTTTATTATAAAAAAATAGAAAAAAAGTAAAAAATATGAAAGGATTTACGAGAAAATATGACTACTTTTAAAATAAAATAATATTAATTAATTACGGTTAATCTAAATAATTAGTTTTTGAAATACAAAAAACTAATTAATTTATTTTTCAAAAATAAAGGGACTAATTTATAATTTACTCCTCTTACTGTTGAGATTAATTATTATTATTATTTAGAATCTTGAGGCTAGGGCGTGCAATTGGGACGTAGTCTTTCACTGATTTATCTTCGGCCAGGCTCTAATGCTCCATTGGGCTTAATGTTACTGTTTTCTGTAATGTTTTCTTGGACCGAGTGCTTCTGTATATGGGCTTTACATCTTGAACCTCATTAAAAATTTTAGGCTAAACTGCGAAACCACCCCGAAAAATAATTTGAAATCAATCCATATTCTTTCAATTTCAACTTTGACCTTTTATATTTTGGTATTTCTAAAATGGGTTTTGCTCATTTACACTATGTTTTTTCGAATTATTTTAATTAAGACTCTGTATTTTTGTTCCTATTTATTGAATCCTTCTATCCTTTTTTTTGTTGCTTTGTTATAACGTTGTTAATTAGTTAGCTAATCAGACACATCCACTCTTAACTAATTAACACGTGTCATATGATGGGCTTCAATAAAAAAAATTCAATCATAAAAATTCAAAAAGTATAAAACTTTAATTAAAATAATTCAAAAAGTACATATACCAAACTATTTTTTTTTAAGACATCAGATTGAATGTATGGGACATTATCACAATAAAACTGTGAAATGCATTCTTTTTAAAAAAAATATAGTAATAATTTAAAATTAATAAAATGCATACAAAACTAACATTCAATTTTAAAAAAAAAGAAAGAATAGATTTCAAATATGTTAGTCAAAATTAAAATAAAAACAATACTAATATTGATTAGTAGTTCATAATTTATATTAAAAAAAATGTGTTGCAGTCTTTAGTTTTTTTTTAGTAACCCTATTTTTTATTTTGACTTGGTCAAATATTTAAAAATATTTATTTTTTTATAAAGAATTAGATTCATTAACTAGGAGTTTGTGGCTAATCGATATTGCACATCATCATATTTTTGGTTTAATAATTACATACTAGGTTCATTTTTTTCATATTATTTTATTATTTTTAACTTTTTATAATATTTTTTTAAATAAAAAAAACTTCATAATTTTATTGTGATGTGGTCTCACATATGAGACGTTTTATGCTTTTAAGAAAAGATTTTTTTAAAAAAACAATAACATAAAAATTAAAAAAGAAAAAAATAATTAGATGAATATACTTTTTGAATTGTTTTGATTAAAACTCCATACTTTTTATTGGAATGCCACATATAACAAATGTCATATATTTAGAAGTGAATGTTGCACGAGCTTGCCAACTAATGGTGTTATAATGAAGGGATGAAAACAAAATAAAATGAAAAATAAAGGGCCTTAATCAACAAAACAATAATAATAATAATAATACAAAATCTAAATGAAAACAATCCAAAAGGTACAAGGATCATATATGGATAAAATACTTTTAGAAATCAAATCCCGTGGCTTTTTCCAAGATTGTGTCCTTGTTTTGCATATATAGCTAATAAAATAACTTCAGTATTCTCAACTTCCATAATCTTTAACCAAATTGATTATTTTTATTTTTTCCATAGAATTAATTTTAATTTTTTAAAAATAAAATAAAGAACTTTAAATTTTAATAATCCACCCAAAACTTCTGTTTTTTTTTTTTTTTAATAGTAGCTTAGATACCCTTTCTTCTTTATCTTAAAAAAAAAAACACCAATATTCATAAAATCCATTCTTTAAAAAATTAATCAAAATTTCTACATGAAGAATTAAAAACATGATATTAAATTTTATTGCTAAAATTTAAAATTAATTATATGGAAAATTTTTAAAATTGATTAGTTAGCTTTAAAATTATTGAAATTGAGGGTATTTGAGTTATCTTATTAGATGATATGAAAAATATTGATTGAACCTTGAAAATAATAACAAAGGGATTTTAATATATCAAAATATGAGGAGATCAAAATTGAAATTAATTAGAATACAAGAACTAATCTTCATATGATTTTACGTCCAGGAGAGATTTGACCAGTCTGACCCAAAGTCTTAACTCCTTCTATGTTTTAGGAATGCCTAATGTTTTTCTTCAAACCTTTATGCAACCTAAGAAATTCCTTCGTAGGATTCTTGACTTCCTAATCTATTAGAAATCATCTCATCTAATGTCAACTAGTTCAATGTAAGTTAAATTGGCTATGATCACATCAGAATTATTACCTCAATCATTTTCCAACTGGGTCAAGATTTGGCTCAAATTGTCATGTTAAAAAAAAAAAATGAGTGGAAATTTTTTGTTGCAAACTGTAAAACGGAAAATTTCACTTTGGACATTTAAATTGCTTGGCTTGTTCCATGGAATTGGCTATATAGAGCATTGCCGTTTTAACACTATTATCATTTTGTCTCACTGATCAAAGGATCACTTCCTATGCATGGTTGAAATTTTCTCACCGACCTCACGTACGTTGGCGTTGTAGTCTTTGATGTTATCATGAATCCATTAATACTACATAGGTTTTTATCAATTGGTACTCTTAAGCCTTTTTTTCCCTCAAATTGGAAAGACACGCATTCAAATTTCTTTTATCAATTTGGCTAATACTAGTTGACGTCAAATGCTTGTTTTCGTAGTGAAATTCACTAGTCGTGGAAGACTCCTTTAGTTAAAAAAAAAAAAAAAAAAAAAAGTGACTCACGTAGCCGGAGTGAGATTTTGGCACTCAAGAAGAATGCTAGAAGATTTCTTGCATTTGCCTGCAAAACAAGTTTTTCGATTGGATGAGGAATGGTCTGAAAAGGCTCTTTGGAGAAAATATTTAATTGCAGAGATGAGAGAAAAATGTTCAAGAATCTAGAACCTGAAACTCTTATTGATTTGGGCCTTTTCATAAGCAGTTGTGGATGCAACTTGTATGGAGAGAAAGACATGCTTGTCCTTCTGTTTCAGCCCTAGTGGTTAAGCCAACAACAGATGATGATCTACTATCATTCTATCTAATCTCTAGTGGTATTAGTGCTATCATGTTGAGCTACGATTTTATTAGTATCATTATATAAAAGCATCTTCATTAAATATTTTGCCTCTCCTAGTGATAGTGGAGGAAAGCGAGGTCTTCTTTTCTCGGGTCAAAGTGCCTCAGGATGGGAGAGTTTCTAAGTTTTTCCCAAATGTCAGCTTGCCTTATAAGGGGTACCTGTCCGTTGTGGACTTTGGGTCTGTTCGATTAGTTATTGCCTTTTCCCATGACTCATGGGTCTGAGTTGGACTTGATAGATTTGATGCTATGTGTATTTGCGGAATCTTTAAGTTGGAGTCAACATAGATAACACGTTTCACTTGGATCTGCCACTATCCACAAGCCCCTCTAAATCTTTACAAGCCTAGACTTAAAAGTCATTGGCTTGGGCCCTTCAGTAGTGTTTTATATTATTGGAAAGGATTATTGGTGTTCTATCTTCTGGCTCTGCTTAGTTTAGATTGGTTAACAAGATTATCCTAACAATTTGAAATTAGTGATTTTGACTAAGAGAAGGGTAATCGTTTAATGTAGAGTTCCTCTGTTGCCATGAATAGCTGCGACTCTTGTGTTTTTCAAAAAGGTAACGATCATCCTTACTAAAGGCATGTATGACAAACTCTTTGTCTTATCCAGCTCTGTAATAAATGCATTATTTTAAATTTTTAGTCTCTTTTTATTTATTTTATTAGGTATGTTTTATGTCGTATTAGGAAGATTAATGTTCATATTTATATATAGAACACAAATTAAAAATTATTAGCAATTTTGCTTAAAGTTAGGAAATTCAGCATTAAACCTTCTGGGTTTCTTATAGATTTTAAATAGATTTGGCATTAGATTTGAAAAACATGGTCTGTAGTGAAGTTTTATTGAACATCTCAAGCTTTTTAAAATAATATTGTGGGTCAAAATCTAAGCTTCCAAATGTTGTTTCATCTAAAAAGTTGATTCAAATCTTATTCGGAGTTTCAATACAATTGTAGTTTTTATTTAATATAAAAGGCCAAGCTTATTAAAGATTTTAGGATCATATCAATAATTGTTATGAGGGATTTGAGTTTAAAATAGGTCGTGTTGAAGGAGAAAATTAGCTATGAAGTCAAAATTATGAGTTTGGGTAGACTGATTGAGACAATCTTAGTTTATAGCTCATAATTCAAGTTGTCGACCTTTTTCTATGCAAGGCCTGGTGCTTTGGAAAGCTAAGGAGTAAGGTTACAACTCTTTTAAATAAGAGCAGACTCCCATTATTTTATCTATCAGAATACACTGAACCTTATATCCAGAGATGACAACAAAGATGGCTAAAGCATCATCATC